CCTAGGACTAAGCCTTGGAGAGGGGACGGACCCGTCCTCTCTTTAAGGCTTAGTTCTGAGGTAAGCACCAAATTGTGGCGGTTCTAAGGACCGAGTTGAAGTGGTCCGTCCACCGTCGGGGACTCCATCCCCTCCCCAACATTCAGCATACGGTCCCAGCCGAAGCGCCAAAAGGGCTGGTTTGCTTACGTCCAAGGAAGGGGTCCCATTTCTCGGGTTCTGGGCCGTTTCTCATGGTTCTTCCTTCTTTCGTGTACCACTCACCATCCCTAGGTTAATTTGAAATGGGTTGCTTTTTCCAGCGTGAATTCGTCCTTTAACACTGCAACTACTGAATACTGTTTGAAAAGAACTGCCAAAAACGATTAGTAATTAGTGCACCCAAACTCTTCTATTCGATATTAGGAAGAACTCTGGGTACATTATATTTTTGTTTTGGGTATTTATAGTGTAAATATATTCAAGGACGTAAAAGCCGTACCTTCTTCTAATGAATACATTTGAACATTTCAGGGTGTTGGCCTATGACCCTGAAAAGGACGAGCTTTCAGTATTGATAGACCACTTGTATTTCCCGAATGGGATACAAGTGATTCGTGGCAAGGTACTCGTCGCAGAAATGGGAAAAGCTCGAATTTTGAAGTCAGTCTGCTCATGCTCTCCAACGTTAACCTACTCTACGTGGACTTAACTACTTGACTTAGGTTTTCTCCTTCTGCTGGGAATCCAAGCGTCTTTACTGACAACCTGCCAGGATATCCCGATAACATCCGGCAGGCGAGCGATGGAACTATTTGGGTTCCAATTGCCGCCACCCGATCAGAAAGTGACAATTGGTTAGCAGCTAAACCATCACTGCGGTCGCTTATGACAAAGGTTAGAAGTCATTAAAACGGCTTTTCAACTCTAATTATGACCTCTGCTTTACAGTTGTTGTCTCCTCAAGCGGTTCATATCGTCGCGGAATGGATGACGAATAAATATGGTCTGGTTCTAAAGGTAAGCGATACAAATAATACTCCTAAGGATTTCTTAACAACTGATTGATTTCAGGTGGATTCTGAGACAGGCAAAGTGGTGGAGTCTCTCCATGATCAGACGGGACGCGTTTCCGATGTGTCGATAGCAAGAATGGTGAGAATCTGTTCTAGGAGCGACTCGAATATACCTAGCATTGCTCAAACTCTGATCATTCCCACTCCGCCTCTCTCGACCATTATGTCTCGCCGTTGCATTAGTTGCAAATTTCTCGAGCATTCTGTCAAATTTTCCAGGACCTCAACCATACGTTATTTCGTTATTTTACTTTACTTCGACACCTCATCAAAGTTTCATGATTGTAAATACTGATAAATGAATATTTTCAGTCAAGAAAAAGAAATTCTTTGGGATCATAAGGAAGCCGGGCAGGGTGAAAATCGTGTCGAGTACGTGGTCGCAGAAGTACGACCCCCCCCCCGAAATCGAGATCCTGGCACGACCCCCAAAACAGAGCAAATTAATTCAATTAATTAATCAAAATAAATCCTGCAAAATAAATCAAAAAATCCTGCAAAATAATGTTATGGACGCCTCATCTTGTCATCTATGCACTGTCTTTCATCGCTGCACACTTTTGTGTATTTACTGAAATATCGACTCGAGGAAAGAGGCATTAACTTTGTGTGACCTCAAAGTCAGGTTCGTTCAGAAATGCACAGAAATCCTGAAGGCACGGGGTTGCGATTTAATCTTGATTCCTGCTTGAGTATATCAAAACAGCCGAGTATCAATCAAAGGCCGATTCAACGGCAGCTGCGGCGCGATTGTCACTGGGTCAGATTTGCTGAAATCCCGAAAAAAACCGTCGAAATCTACACCCTCGATGAAAAGGTTGCATTCCTCCATTTCATAACCTTTGAAGCAGTTTGAGGTAGGGTTAGATAGAGCTGGATTTCGCGTTTCCAAGAAGTATTTGAAATTGCTCTGAAAGCCTTCCATGCAGAAAGATAGGGTCTCTCAAATTTCGTCGAGTAAACGTCGAGGACGCTGAAATTTTCACGCGAGTTTTTGCCACTTCAAGAGCAATATCTCTCTTAAAACGTGAGATCCTGAAAAAGTGAAGATAGTTTTGGAAAGCGGAAGGTTTGCGCTTTCTGATGGTCTTCTTAGCTTTCTTCTACATTTCCTAGTTGAGAAGATATCTGCGTCGAGTATGTATCGAGGACGGATCCGGCCACCTGAAAATCCGCTCCCTCCTTCACCATTGCAAGTGTAATTGTTGGCAACGCTTGAAATGGGTCTAGAAAACATCCTCCCAACATAAGCAATAGGAAAAGGGGCAATCGTCATCATCGAATTTTGTCTGAGTATAGGCCATGCATCCGACCTCACTCGAAGTTGCAGAATCGATTCGAAGGTGTCATATGATCATGACCAGTTGACAGAAGCTGCATGTATAATAGTAAACGCACTTCGTAACTCTTACAACCTTCTTGCGTGTGAACTGCCCGCAAGAGGCGGCGTTCTGGCACGGGTGGCGTCCATTCCTGCTATCGGTCATTTTTACTGCTGTTTTTTAATTCTCTACTGTGTTTACGACATCAGCGTAACTCCTTGTCGCGAGGGAGTCTGTTTATGTGGTATTCAGTCGCGACCAGCCCAGGTGAACTGTTCTGATTTCGTTTTTGTGATTCAGTACGTGAGGGATCGATCGATTCCATCGATATAATTGGATCTGGTTGTGACCTCTTGATCGCACGGAAATGGAAACACCCGTCTCACATGTTCTTAAGTCAGGGAAACGCCCGCGTGTGATTACTCCTGATGGTGCCACGTCCTCGCCCAGTTTGATAGAAGCTGTGAAGCAAGTCAATGCGTCTACTGCTGTTCCAGAGTGTGTCAAAAAGCTGCTTTTTGTGCATTTCTACCCAGCTAAGTGCTTTGATTGATGAGAACGCGGCACTAAGAAGCCGTCTTGAATCGTTCAAAGAATTAGAGTCTGAGAATAGAGAATTGAAGGAACGTTTGCGCAGTTATGAGGAAAAAGCCGTTTCTAAGCCTGTATTGCCAGTTGTTTCTAATTCTCAGCCCTATTCATGTGAAGAGGTTGAGAGAAGACGTTCAATTGTCATTAGTGGTATTCCGGAGATTCATGCAGGAAATTTTTTTGATCGTGTTCAGTATGATTATCAAAGTGTGATTAATGTTTTGTGTCATTTAGAAGTTGACTGTTATCCTGTAACTGTTTATAGGCTAGGTAGGTGGGTTTTAGGCAGGAACAGGTTGCTTAAAGTCGTCTTGCCGTGTTCTAGGTTTCAAAAAATAGCTGTGAAGCGAGCCCCTCGCCTCAAAACGTTCCCTGGGAAGGGCGTTTTCCTAAGGGAATCGCTTACTCTCGAGGAGCGGAGAGAGGCGGGAGGCTCGTTTAGCGGCTAAAAATGATGCAGTAGCTAATGTCTCCGTGAATGGCAATGTTTTTTCTCCGGTTCAAACAGTCAGTTGTACTATCCCTCAGTCACAGACAATTTATGATTCGGAAAACTAGCGAAGTATCTTCGGAATCTATCCTCTATTCATCATGATCAAAATTGTAGTAAAGAATCATGGGGCCCTAAGAAAGCTATAAAATGTCTATCTTCTAATATTCGTTCCATAGTTAGGAATGTACAATCTCTGAACTTTTTGCTTGCGAAATCGGAGTATGGCGTTATTGCTCTATCTGAGACATGGTTAAATTCCAATACTGAGATTTCTTCTTTGCTTGGTGTACTAGCTGCTAGCTATGAGGTATTCAGAATTGATCGGAAGCGTAAGAAGGGAGGAGGCGTTGCACTATTGATCAATCGTATGCTTTGCCCTGTATTTGTTTTTGGGGAAACTATAGCTAATGGGTATGAGCTAGTTGCAGTGGACACTCACATAAATGGGAGGAATTTAAGAATACTGCTCTGCTATAGATCCCCTGGCTGCCCTAGTGAAAAGTGCGAAAAAATGGTCAAATGTATAAGTGATCTTTGCGTAGGTGCTCATGTTTGCCTTCTCACAGGAGATTTTAACTTCCCCGATATTGATTGGTCAGATACTCGAGCTCAGAGTGCCGGGGTCGCTCAGAAATTTCTGGATATGGTTAGAAACCACGGTTTTCACCAGTATGTGAAAACTGGACGAGGAGGTGCCAATGTTTTGAAGTTATCTGCAATGATAGTAACATGATAAGAAGCGTTCAAGTGGGACCACCGCTAGGGACAAGTGATCACGCGAGCATTGGGTTCACTCTCAATCTGCAAGAGAAGTTAAACAGTGTCGTACATGTTCGTGATTTCAAAAAGGCTGATTTTGTAAGAATCTCTTCTTTTCTGGACTCGATTGATTGGTATGGTTCCTTCATTGGGCTTTCTGTTGATGATATGTACGAAATGCTTATTTTCGTACTTCAGCAATGTATACACATGTATGTGCCATTGCGGAAGGTTCAGTTACGCAAAGCCCAGATTCCCTACCTTCCTCCATTCGCTTTTCGATAAGAAAGTGAGGGCATACAAAAAAGCTGTTGTAACCAACTCTCCCAGTGATTGGGATTTTTTCAAAGTAATAGCAAAAAAGTTTGAAACTAAAATGTATAAGTATAGTTGCTTAATTGAGAAGAAAACTGTTGAAAATGGGAGCAGCGTTGCTTTGTTCAAGTACATTTCCTGGAAGACGAAGTCAAAAGAAAGACTTCCTGTTTTGCTGAAACCAGATGGTTCTCCAGTTCTTTCTGACTTTGATAAGGCCGAGCTTTTTGCCCAACATTTTGAAAAGGTTTTCGTTGCAAATAGAGATCATGATAGTGTCATTGCTGAGTTACCAGGAGTCTTCCCTCAAATGGAAGACTCACTGTGGTTTAGCGAAAGTGAAATTTTTGAGATTCTTTCTAAATGGAAATCAAAGTCACTCTGTCACGCCGGACCGCGTCGTTTCGTTATCAAAGAGATACTCCCCTCGATAGTTGGGCCCTTGCGATTCATATTTAACTTGAGTTTTGTTCGAGCTGAGGTTCCTAGGAGATGGAGGCTCTCTTATGTGGTTCCCATCCCCAAGAAACCTCCATATTCGGACGCAAACAATTACAGACCGGTCAGCATCACTTCGGTTTTCTGTAGAGCTTTCGAAAGAGTAGTCAAGAGGGTCGTCGTAGAACACCTTGAACGTCAGCGGATCTTACCCGACTGCCAGCATGGCTTTAGGAAAGCGAGATCGACGGTTACTCAGTTGCTGGAATCTTTAAATGATTGGACAACCTCATTGGAAAAGAAGAAAAACGTTGATGTGGTTTACTTTGACTTTTGTAAAGCATTTGACAAAGTGAACCATTCCAAGCTCTTCGCTAAGCTCAAACACATCGGCATTCACCCAAGAATTTTAGTATGGATCAAGGCCTTCTTGAGTCATCGCTGCTTTCAAGTTCGAATTGGCAAAGCCTTTTCTAGTGTTAAGACTGCCCCAAGTGGTGTCCCGCAAGGAGGGGTTCTTTCACCGGTGTTGTTTTGTATCTATACATACGACTTACCTAGGGTGGTGGAGGAGATTTGAATGTCAATGCAAAGTCATTCGCCAGATTTTTTGGGGGAATGGGGAAGATTTACCAGGAATTAGGATCTCGGGAGGATGCTGAGACGCTCCAAGAAGCCATTGAGGCAGTTGTCAAGTGGTCCGATGTGTGGGAGCTACCATTGGCTTCCAACAAAACTTTGGTTTTGCATCTAGGCAGGCCCCAGGAGAGGAGCGCCTACTACATAGGTGGTTGCGAACTCAATGAGGTTGAAGCGGTTAGGGACTTGGGATTTCTCATTGATAACAAGCTGAATTTCGAGTCACATTGCGCCGCTATAGCCAATAAAGCTGAAGTCAGGCTATTACAACTCTTTCGCACTCTATACACCAAAGATCCATGTATCCTCATCAAGGCTTATAAGTCGTACATCCGTCCTATTCTGGAGTATGGATCGATTATTTTCTTTCCCCACAAGAAGAAGACCATCTCCAGGTTAGAGTCTGTTCAAAACAGCTTTACTAGGAAGGTTCTGGTCCGTTCTTTAGGTTTCAACTACAATGTCATACCCAGGGCTGTTGTCAGGAACAAAATGCTTGGTCTGGAATCTCTTCTTCGCAGAAGGGAAAAGACTGATCTCATTATGTTATTCAAAATACTTGTCGGGAAAGTGCCGATTGATTTGCAAAGCCTCTTCACTGTTCTTCCTTCTGTTACTAGAGGAGAAAAGTTCAAATTAGTTCGTCCATTTGCTAGATCCAACACCAGAGCAAATTTTTTTTCTCTTCGCGCTTCTAGTGAATTTGGTAAGCTCACCAAAAAATTCGCCATGCCCAGCAGTTTATCGCACTTGAAAAAAATATTTACAAAATTCTATACTTAAGGGCTTCAAATTTTTCATTTTCAAATCTGATTTTTAGAGGATGGACAATCATATTCACTAGTAAAATTTTGTTGTTTTACTTCATTTTCTTACTTTTGTACATGCAAATCGTATAATGTATGCTATACGACCCTAAAGAGCCAACTTCATTTGCAGGCTCCTTCACCGTTCGGTTCTTTTTTGCAATAGGCACCCTAACAACAGCGTCATTCTCAGCGAGGTATTAAGGAGAAGGAGCGAGCGATAGGCGGAGAGGTGCCTTTGCAGCGCGTGCGCACATGTGGCACTCTTCTTTGCGGGGATGCACTTTCATTCTTTGTACTGCCTTCAAATACGCCCTTCTCATGAAGGTGGAGGAATGGAGCGACTGAACCTGCAAAGAAAATTTAATATCATGTTTTTTTCAGATATTTTCATTTTCTGCTGCGCTATACCCTCTTACCTATCTGCACCACGATACCACTGCTGTTACTGACCCTCAAGAGTACGACCCCCCATGGACCAGCCCGACAGGTACGACCCCCTGTCGAGGATTTCCTCGACCGATATTCACCCTGGTGGGCCATACCGGCATTATCGGATAGCAAAAACTCCACTTAATGCGAGAATCAAGCCCGCACCTCTCACTTTGCGGGCAGTTGCGCTACCAAACGCAAAAATCTTTTTTGCATTTCGAAATGTGACCAAAAATAGGGTCTATATTCTTGAAGTGTAGGAGGCATCATGATGCAGTTTCTCGGCGAACTAGTGTGAACTCGAACATTCCAGCTTTTCACGCATGTCAAGTGACTGCCCTCACCCCCACCCTCGTAGACTGGCTACACTCCCTGGCTCGGAGTTACCCTAGCTTTCTGGAAGAAACTGCATCATACACCCCTAAAATTGCAATAAGGACCCAGAAAATAATTAATCTGAAATAAGTCTGGAGGGGGAAAGGAAGTATGGGCGGACCCCTCCAGGGCTGCTTATTGTGATCGCGGGCCGTGTGAAGATCTCTTTGAAGGAAATAAGCACGATAGTGAATCAACACCAAGGAGTTATGCACCAGCTGGAAGGTAGCCAAGTGGTAAAGAAGCAAGGAGTGGCGTCTTTGAAAAGATACGTTGGTTGTACAGCGCGATTGAGGCGGGTAGGACCTTACGACTCTCTGACGCATATAATTGCTGAACTTACGACGAAAAACTTCCCGGCACACCCCACGACGGAAAGGGTGAATAGCAGTTGAAGAATTCGTCCACCATGGCTCTGTACTGTGCCAGAACAATGCCGAGAGTGAACGCAGACGTCTGCGAATAGACCCGGTGTGAAATGTTATCGCGCGAGAACGTTAACTGCAATCAGCGGAATCTTCGACGTGCTGAGGAATCTCCTGAACATTTACCCTGCCGTGTAGTAAGCAAGACTAGAACTCTTCAGACCACCTTTTGAACCTTCCAGGGACGAGGAAAGTACTTTGTCAGGGGTTTAGGAAAAATAGTTCGCGACCACACTGCTATCTCTGAGGAGAAGGGTAAGTACTTTATTGTGAGGGCCTCTAATCAGCGGTTGTTTCCTTTGCTTTTTTCATGCATTATCAGTCAGTTCCATCATACTTTATTTATTCATTAGTTAAACGTTAGTTCCCCACTATTTTGACCCGAAGATGTTCGTATTATAAAGTTTTCATAATCGAGTATACCTGCCTATGTTGGCTATGAATTGCGAACATATATAAACGTTCGATTTTTATGGAAGAGTAAAGGTCACCAAACAACGAATTTTGATGAATTCTCTTAGATTTCAGCTGGGCACACACACCCGTCCATACAATAGATCATAATTAATCAAAATCCGCACGACGGAATGAAGTGGTCTCTGAAGCCTGTAAGTGCACTCCTCGCGGGGATAGTTCCCAAAACTCTGCATCTCTCAACACATCCCCTACTTCCTTGACCGTGGGAGTGCCATCAACTAGATAAACACACCAAGTGCAAAGACGCACCCCACGACTACTGCTACTCGCCTCAGTTCAGTTGAGCTTTTAATGGTTTCTTCAGATTTCTTTCACTGCCACCATTTGCATGTCTGCTTTCACATTGGATGACGTACAAATATCGTAATCGCTCCCTCCTAAAGGGGGAGGTCGGCACAAGGAACGACTTATGGCCATGCTCGGTCGGCTGAGATCACGTGGAACCCACAGGCCATCATACTTTTTGCCGATGGTCTGAACCATCGGCAAAAAGTATGATGTCCTTGCTCACCTTTCGTCGATACTGAAGAAATTGGTAATACCTCCGCTTTTGTGTCGTTGACAGGGTTCCGGACTCCGGATTCCTTTCTGCACTTGCGTGTATCGGAAAACTTCTAGCATCATCCTTTCCACAGCGCGTTGGATAACGTCAACAAGATGCTTATCCTATTTGCGGCAAAGTCCAAGTTTTAGTCAGTATGTACGTAGGCAGAACGATTATGAAGGGAGGTAGCTGGCATTTCATTTCATTTGAATCGCCTGCTTTTCTGGAAGTATTTTCGAAGGCGATCAGGTATGGCTGCTTCAGCTCTGAAATGACAGCTAGTCGCAATTATCAAATTTATCGTCCTTCAGTAAGCGAATTGAAAGAGAATAAGAACGAGCATCCTTCGAAACCAATTTCGCAGGTCCCGCTGTGAGGCAGCGCGAACATTGTTCCGTGACACTCCAGTCCATTCATTATCAGGTGGACCTGAGGTTCCCGCAGCGATGGAAAGGCCGGTCCCACGTGGCCAAAAAAGTCAAAACGCGCGCGATATTGTCAACGTATTAAAAACCTGAAGAAATAACATAGGAATTGAAGATGGTTGCAGTTTGCAACTTCAAAGGACTCATTCAGCCAGAGTGGCATTAGAGCAGACTGTGCACCGCAATGTCCCCTTACTGGTTTACGGACTACATGAAGTTTCTTCTATGGTCCTACGAATGGCCACAGAACAGACGGTTAAATAACGGCGTGGCGCGGCTCCAAATCCCGAGGGGGAGGGTGAGAGCTTTCTGACTGAACCTTGGAGGGGGAGGAACTAAGGGGTGGTGAGTCAATTACAGTGTGGCACAAGTTTAAAATGTAAGATCACAGTAGTCATGAGCCGCTATTTAGACGAGGGAGCTTAGGTGGGAGCACCAAATGAGGCGATTCAGAGGACTGATTTCAAATAGTCCGTGGTCCGACGATAAAAATTCTGCAATTTTCTACAATCATTTAGATAGGCCCAGCACTGCTGCCGATAAATCTACGAAACGTTTCGAATCAAAAAAGTCAACTTCGATCAACTTAATTTTTACTTTCTATTTATGACCGTTTCACATTACGGTGCATAAAAGAAAAAAAAAGAGGATTAAAATCAAACAAGAGTGACCGTAACCACAAAGTTCGAAATAAAAGGAGGCTGTAACATATCAAATATTAACCTCTGCTTGGCGGGATATGAGTCTCATTCTGAAAAAGGAAAACATACAACAGTTAAAATTCGCATCGCAATAATTGGGCAAATAATTTACGAGTGACGGGATGATTGCGAGAGCTGGGACCGAGGTGAGGAGGAGTGTGGAGTCGAGACGAGAAACCCTCATTTCCCATGACAAATGCAAGTGAGAACGGAACACCCAGGTTACGAAAAACTAGAGACGAATTAGAGGAGTGGACCGAATACCGTAAGGGCGAGTGCAAAACACACAAAAAAAGAGCGAAGTACAAAGATAGAGGTGCTGCGGTGTTACCCATAACCGCCACTGACAAGTACAAGTTGAAGACATATCGCAAATAATTAAAACGAGCGTGGTAATGTACAACGTACGAAGAAAGCAAACGCGACGCATGCACGATGCAGCCTGTACAGCACTTGGACTGAGATCCGGCCTAGGTCAATGCTGCATCAATCGACGCATGATCACAGGAGGAATTAAGCTAAAACTGACAGAGATTCTCAGCACGACGGCGACGATGACCGCGAAGGCAGCGACGACGATCATACTACCAAGACAAAAACACACACTGACACACAAACAGAGCAGAAATTATGATGAATGAATAAATATGATGCAAACACAATACATATACATTCAGCCTTGCGAAACTAGATGATAACCACTTTGAAAGAGGCAATAATGAATCAAATTTACAAACTTCTAGCTACTCATCTACATGCACATAAAGGTGATTGGAACGCGTGAACAAAATTACTAGTAACGCACCACCAACAATCAACTAGCATACTACCAACACCCGGCTGAAAAATGATATCCGGCGAGTCCATCACGAACACGTCATGCTCATAACCCTATCGAGTGAAGTTGTTCAAAGGGTGAGGAGGCGGAGGTGCACGTTGATGACTCGTTGGTATCACTGCGTACTGCGCCATGATCGGTATGTGATCTGACGGCACGTGAGGATGCGGAAATCCTGAAATGCGCTCACTTAAGGATCAACAACACTAAAGTATCGCCTTGATGCATACCAATGATCTTGTTTTGTGCCACCCAATTCGAATCGAAAGCGCCAAGGAAACCAAGCCGTGCCAAAGATTGAGGCGTCGAAAATATATAGTCAATCATTCCCTTGAAGTCTAGTCTGAAAAATTGAAGCCATATTGGATAAGAAAGCAAGCAAAAACGAAATTCCCGTGTTTTCAAATATACGCACGTGTAATTCGTGAATGGTATATTGCTCAGTTCGACAGCGGAGTCGAGCCGGAGTGAATGGGTGAAACAGTTCGGATCGCGAACGCCAGAAGAAAACATTTCCAAGCAACTATCGTCTCGAAATCCTTTCAGCTCCGAATGAGTCCGCGACAATTGTCCTCGAGAGAGGAATTCAAAGACTCCTAAAAACACTCTTATAGACAAGAAATTCGTGGCATATCCCTCAGGAAATGATGGGGATTTTGAAAGCATCCGCTTTATTGTCATTGTCATTAGATTCAAGACCAAGATGGGTACATAATTACTCGGCAACCTAGACTGTGGTTGCACACCCAAAAGGTGGAGAAGGATTGACACAACTTTTTGCCCAAAGTCAAACAAAGGATGCGTTTGCGGAAGAACTCGTCCATATTTCAGTTTACCAGTCCTAATGTCCAATCGCAGAGGAATACCCCACGAACAGCGTTAGAAGTCTTTCAGATCCATAAGAGGCGGTTTTCTTAGTCAACCATTGAAAGTCTCTCTAAATTGGACTACTGCATAAGGCCGAAGTTTCGTGCTGGCATTACTGTTCCCTAATACAAGGATTGGTAAAAAAGAAAAGCAGACTGGAAAACAATGCATGTATGAATGTAAGTGTATAAATCAAACACATTGTACCTGAAGTCGGATAAGGCGAATTCTAAATCACCGCCCATATAACACAGGGTCTGCTGGTTTATTCAAATTGCTCTAGCCCTAAATATGTGCAATTGAAAAAATCCCATTACTTAATGTTAACGAAAACTACAATCACTGATCAACGCCTAGAAGATACTAGGAGACATGAAGCGCAAAATTCTAGAAGCGGCTGGCATTTTGAGAGATCTGCAGATATGAGCCGCAGTCTACCGACCGCGTAGGACCTCGCACCCGCAATTCGACTGCAGCTTTCCCGTCTCTTTAGTTTCCTTTCTAATGATGTAGTAAATTTCTGAATTACACGAAAAGTTTTTTTTTTTTTACTTCGTTGAATAAGCTTCTTAACGTGTTTTTTGCGGGGAAAGAAGATCGCAGAACGGAAACCTGGGCAGACTCTGAAGTGTTGACCTTTTCCACAACGTAAGCCCTTTTCTATCGAAAGCAATTAATCGTACCCCAAAACGGATAAATGCAAAATATACACACAACCCCACTGTTAAACGTACCTCCTCAAGAAGTTTATACAGCTCGTGCGCCAGCATCATAGTCTGAACCAGCTTGACGTCGCAAAGATTCAGGATCCCAATGGATATGAGCAGTGCAAACAACAAGCGGTGAACCAACGACATTGTCTGCTGCAGCCATCGTCATGCGTCCTTAAAACATGAGTAAGGTACGCCTTTTTTGATTGAAGCAATTCAAATAAAGAAAAGTTGGATCAGAAATTACGCGATCTCGGATGTGTGTAGTGAAACATACTCACTGTTATTGTAGACGTTCTCCTTGATCCGGAGAACAGCACACAGCGCGATGTTATCTCGAGGCATAACCCGGTTGAGCATATGCTCCGATGAGGCGGCTTTCTTCACAACAATTTGCGTAAACTCTATGAGGTGCTCTCGCTCAATCTCAAACCTGACAAAGTTATTGTTATCAAACCTTAGCCTTATTATTATTACGCATATATTACTGATTATGGCTAAGCAATTGTTCGGATTGCTTGACATGTAGGGCTGTTTGACCCTTACGAGTGAAAAGCAGTTCCGAGTTTCACGCTGCAAAAATAAAATCAACTTACTTTTCCGATTTCCAGAAGATTGCACAGCCATCCACGTACTTTCGATCTTCTTCATTCATGGTCTTTGCGCGAGATTTTGGAGAAAAAATCCCTGTGTACCCTAACACTTTCAATTCCGGTTGAAACAATAGACGAAATTGTTCCGTTTCGACTTCCTGAAAGGAATGCAATCAATCCAGTGATCAATTATTTTAGGTAAGGTAGCCAGTCATTTTCACGGTAGGAGTTATGACAAAGTAATCACGCCTTTCAATGGTGAAGAATTAAGATGTTATCTATTCACAGAAAATCAAACAAAAATCAATTAAAGGGAAAGGATTAGATGGAACTTCTTGTAATCCGTTTGGGTCAGGATTTGGCATGTCTTAGCTTTCCTTGCGCATTTACTACCCTTCCGTCCAACTGGTTCTCTAGAGTAAGAGAGTGGGGCCGTACTTCACCCTCTCACGCTGCTGTCAAACACTCTGACTATGAGAGATTGAAATGAAGAGCGTGGAATCTCGACTTTGCTAAGTATACTTGGAATCTCTTTCGAAAATCTCCTTCACGTAAACAAGACTTTGAGTAAAGGATTGGAATTGAAAACATACTTTGTTCGGATTTTGCAAGTGAGAGCATTTGAAAAGCTCTTACGTTCGTTTTGAAGAACGTTATTAGTCACATTTCTTTTCCGCTCGTAAGTGTTAAGAGTAAAACCCCCAACACACCTTAACAAGCTGAAGCAAGAATGCTCAAAACCGGAATTATGTGATAAAGATCTCAGGAAGCTATATAGCTGCCACTCAGGATCGGCTCTCTCGCGAAATTGCAACCCTTGTTTTCTTTCTCGCAGAAACTCTTCCATTCTTGGATACTAGCGCGACACGCTTCGTCGCAGTTGCAATGAAGGACAACGTCACATGTGATGAAAGTACAAAGAGCCATCCGTATCGAACAAAATTACGACATGCATGCATTGTAAAAAAAAAATACCTGTAATGTGATGATGTCTGCCTCGTAATTTCGAATTTCTTTCATAATAGACATCTTTCGGTACTCCCAATTGAGAGCCCATGATGGGCAGTAGGAATATTGGTTGACAGTGGCATATTTATCACATAGCACGTTGTAGCACAGCACAGTAAAAGTAGCTGAAAATATTATTCTAAGATTAGACCGTCGAACAACAAAGAGACAAAAGTCAAACTTTGAAAAGACAAAAAGTAATAACAGCAAAGTAACGGTGAAAAATTAAAATTACAAAAGGGAAGAAAAATTTGTAAGAAATGAGCTGGCAAAAAACTTGGTGTGAAACAAGCTATTCCTATTATCATTTCTTCTACCCACCGCTTCAACGTAATACACCACTTCTGGAAGGACATAAGTGGACAAGAGAAAATGAATTCGGCGTTGCTTCCCCCACCCCCTTACATTTCCTTTTCTTATCAGATGAGAGCGCATAATCATAATACGTTACAGTTCATGCAGAACTGCTAATTAAACACGACAATTAATTTTCTTATTAGCGAACCTTTTTGTCCAAAATTGTCTAATCAAATGATTAGGGTTGGTATTCATTCAGTTTCCGCACAACAAAATCGCCCTTTTCCTAGTAACGTCAAATCACCACGTGGAAAACCTCAAAACTTCTTTGTTAGACTTCCTTTTTGTGAAATTCCATCTATTTCGAGTTGTCGTTAACATCATGCTCTCACTTGATGTAATTAGTAGGAGTGACTGGCACCTCTACCTCTGATGTTTCTTGTTTTTTGTTTTTTTTTTAAGAAGGGATGCAATCATGTCCCGCTATCTATGATGGGACACCTTAAGAGCGGACCTGTAAAGATTGAACGCATTTTACGTTGAAATATAAGAACCATAGACCGTGAGCAAGATCATGATGAATGCTCCCGAACGGATGATTTTCAATTTTTTGATGATGTACTATTGCATATGCCATCTGCTTACGTTGCTGATTACGAGTAGTCTGATAAAAACGCGGCTAGCAATAAAGCCGGTTTTGTCATGTTGCTCGCGATTGTGGACCGCTCCTCTTACAGTGTTTAGCCATTAGCTGTCCGCGAAAACCGGCCCCGATAGAACGCGCAACTTACAATCGTGTCGCTTCCCACCAGGCATGATCTATTGCGAAAAATGAATGAGACTGATATAATGTGTCATTCGTTAGATGAAGCAATGAAGACACTGCGAAATCGTAAATACTCTAGAACTATCGAATTCCACAACAACTGCAGATGCCGGATTCAAAGAAGTTGGAAATGCAAATGAAAATCAGCCTCGTTTTGAAATAATGTGAATTATTTGCACCATTTGAAACACAAAATCAATGTAACAGCAAACGAAGAAATACAAGAATCTAACAGAATAACAGGAAAAATGTGAACGACAAAAACGAAGTCGTTACCTATAGGTCGGTCGGGATCTGCGTGTCGGATCATCACCCATTCCCGCTCAGGCGGCGGTGCGGTGTTAACTTAACAAAAGTTGTTACTGTACCATTCCATTGACATTATCAATACATAATACGAAATCTATGTTTAAAAAAATATTTCATCCTTAACACCACACTGGTATACAGCGACATGGCCTTAGATTGATCCTGAAGCGTCGACTACCTTAATGATGACTAGAAACACTACGTATAATTCTTCATAATGATTCGATCAGTGAGCGCACTTTCTGAAAAGAAAAACAGACGCACGCGTCGAGGGATGATGGGTAATGGGTGCGCGAACACTAAATTTATTTTTCAAGAGAGAAAGTGTCTTGCAAATCTCAGGCATACTGCACACACTCGAGGAAACCGAAATACGCGAAAAAAAAATTTGGGTGCTCAGGAAGTTGAGGGGAGCACGCACGGACGCACCGCTCTGCTCTTACAGTGCTCTCTCGAGTGTGATGGCATTAAGCCTTAGCCTGAGAAGGGGTGGATGGGTTTAAACAGTATGATTTGTGATTTTTCAAGGCCAATGCGCTAGAGGAGCACCAGGAAGACCACTGCGAGGACGCGTAGTCTTCCCAACCCATTAGCACCAGTCTTCTCTCTCTCAATGAACCATATCAACTGAGAGCGTGTTTGTTGCAAATTTAAAACAATACGAAACGAAATTCCAATCAAATTCGAGCCAGCAGACTGTTGACAAGACAAGATCAGAGCTGCGTAAACCTTTGAAAATCATCTTCCGAAGCAGATTTTTCATGGGCAATTCGCGCATGAATTTAGGGAATGCTGCTCAGAAAAATTGATGAACATGAGAATCTACTAAAACAAGCGAACAAAACAAAGAAAGGAACCATAGATAAATGTATGCAAGATGCTCACCACAACAAAAAAGGCCGCGTCAACGAAAAATTATTCAAAAACGCAAGTGACCGATTCATCATTACACATCACAACAGACATTATATTATTTCCGAAAAGATCACTCTTCACGTGTATTTTCTCTTCATATGTTTTCCCACAAAAATTAGGGAAAAGCGATTGGCTTCAGTCCACAAACATTCTGATTTGGTGGAACGATGTATATATTTTCGCTCTTTGTAGATTGATTTCTCACTTCACCCTTTAAAACAACATTTGATGCCGCTTAAGTGGTAAAAAAATCACATAAACACATACCGCACGATGGAGGAACTTACCAGAAAAATCACTTCGCTTTGCTATTCCAGGCTGAAGAAACAGATGCAAGGAAAGTGTGTTAGTGTCCGCAGATGATTCAAGAACTTCTGTAGAAGCATGTTTTGATGTCCTCTTGGATGTGAAAGACAATTCCGTTTCAACCAATGAAAGAAGGTCGCCTAGATCTGAGGAAGGGGTGAGCGATTTCGAAGTCTTTCCTGTCTCTTGATGCGATGATCGGCCAATTGATGTTTGACTGTGGGGCGATTCTGAAGCAACTCGACATACCGAGAAACTTGCACGAGTTGCGTACTCGATAGAAGCAGCACTCATAAAAAAAGAAGCCTCGAACGACGTTACAGAGCAATGCTCGACTCCATCCCTCCAGTAAGGCTGTGGTATCCAATGTGATATGGAATTGCAGAGATGCTCAGCGTGAGGCGTTTCCCGATGCTTCAGCAGTTCAACTGCGCTACTGGATAGGTCGAGATCGTCAAACATGCAAGATTCTTCAGGAGAGTCAAGAAATCCCGAGCGTGCTGCAAAAAGTCGTTGATTATATCTTCGTTGCTGCAGTTCCGCCCACCTTTTGGCCCGTCGAGCGAAGCGCTTTCCCGTTCCTCTTCCTGAGCAAGTGTTTCTGCTCGCTCCGTTTACATTTTGTTCCAAAAACGGATCTCCTCTTTCCGAACATTGATTAGAGACTCCATCGGACATAATATGTATGACGGACGATTTTAGCACATTACTGACGAGTTGATGCAGAAATATACCAATTCAGATGGGAAGGATTATCAGACGAAGGCTCGTAAGAAGCTAAGGCTACGACTGAACTGCGTAGGTATCGCACCACATGGGCGGAAAAGGGGCGTGCTATGGAGTGCGTTCGCGATGGATGATCCAACGTGCGAGACGGACGAGCAAGCGAAAGTTTGAGGACACCCAAGAAACGATGCGATTCCATTGAAAATTTTCCAAAAAATAACAGAATTCAAGCAAATGCGAGGCTATATGAGACCTCAGAATATTCACAAGCAGCGAGTTGAAACGGGACACACGCGGAATGGAACAATGTAAGATTTCGGAGTTAAGAAGCAAAGCAAGTCTGAACATGGACAGTACTTACTGAAGAACGGGAACCGGAGACCAAGATATAGTCAGGGACAAGACAAGAACTGGTATACTTGAGCCCTCATCTTCTACGACTATGTAAGCGAAGTTCTTGCCGTTTTCCATACTTCAGATTTCAAGGACATAAAATTGGAATAAATTTTTGGCAGACTATCAAAACTTGCATATTATTAGAAGATTATTACGGCTCTATCCAGAGTACCGTCAACATTACTCGAGTACTACTGCTCCCACTCTTTCAAAGCCTTCAATCAGCACGATTTTCTTCTTTTAATTCGTATTAGGGTAGAAAGGAGCGATATCAGCTCTTGATATAGATTAGTGATTCGGCCTCGATTTAGAAAAATGCGCTGTGCAGGGATAGCTTGGAAAGCTTGTTTAGGGATGGCAAGAACTCGAAGGTGGTGAAGGTGGTCGTTGGACAATGAATGTTGTTAAGAATTAGCTGAAAGATTCGATAAAACCAAATTTTCTTAGAAGTGTTGAAAAGGCCGCTAATGGTCCTCAGCCACATGGAGTAGGTAGAAAAGTCCGAAAATGTCGATAAGGGTGCCCCAACAAATTGGGGTTCCGTGGAGCCGTCCGCTTTTTTACCTCTTTTATCCAAAGCGGCAGCTTTTTCAATCAAATTCAACTGGTACTCCATGGAGAATGGATTCTTTTCAATAACCTGTGAGCTCGGCTGATAGGAGCGATCACGATTAGGTCAGCAAAACTCCGCAAAGGTGAAACTACATGGGGAGATGGCTGTGCTGCCTGCGCGGTCTGCAGCAGGCGCAGACCAACTCTGCAAAACATTGACAGCTGGAGTACTGAATTATGCTTCAAATGTCTTGAACACTATACTTCTTTTCTAATCACTGCTACTTGGAAAGCGCCCTAAAGAGAAACGCTACGAAATTTATTGTGATGATGAAACGACCTTGCCGTATTCATCGCCTCGAGAACTCCAGCACCTGTAGCGAACGGATTGGTCAAACCCATTAAATGTTAGCAATGATTTGTAAATTGTAACGGTTTTTAACACGTTGACGACATCGCGCGTTTTGTGCTTTTGCACCGCGTGGGACAAGAGCGATTTTGCGAGCGCAGCCGCCGCACACCAAATCCATGGATTTTAAGTTGCGATGAAATGTTTTCAAAGATGTTCGATTTGTCTAGCTTATCAGGAGTTACAGTAATGGAAAATTGACCGAAATGACGTGTTAAGGCCATGAAAACAGAAATTTTACTTAATTTCCTTTAAAGGAGGAATTCACGATTAAGAATGGAGTTCGAAGAAAGGGAAGTGACTGCAACTACTGAATGCGTTGAACGAACTGCCAAAACGATTAGTAACTAATGCACCCAAACTCTTGCTAATTCGATCATTAGGAAAAACTCTGTACATTTATATTTTGTTTTGGTATTTATAGTGTCAATATATTCAAGGACGTAAAAGCCGTACCTTCTTCTAATGAATACATTTGAACATTTCAGGGTGTTGGCCTATGACCCTGAAAAGGACGAGCTCTCAGTACTGATAGACCACTTGTATTTCCCGAATGGGATACAAGTGATTCGTGGCAAGGTACTACGTCGCCGAAAACGGGAAAAGCTAGAATTTTGAAGTCAGTCTGCTCATGCTCTCCAACGTTAACCTACTCTACGTGGACTTAACTACTTGACTTAGGTTTTCTCCTTCTGCTGGGAATCCAAGCGTCTTTACTGACAACCTGCCAGGATATCCCGATAACATCCGGCAGGCGAGCGATGGAACTTTGGGTTCCAATTGCCGCCACCCGATCAGAAAGTGACAATTGGTTAGCAGCTAAACCATCACTGCGGTCGCTTATGACAAAGGTTAGAAGTCATTAAAACGGCTTTTCAACTCTAATTATGACCTCTGCTTTACAGTTGTTGTCTCCTCAAGCGGTTCATATCGTCGCGGAATGGATGACGAATAAATATGGTCTGGTTCTGAAGGTAAGCGATACAAATAATACTGCTAAGGATTTCTTAACAACCGATTGTTTTCAGGTGGATTCTGAGACAGGCAAAGTGGTGGAGTCTCTCCATGATCAGACGGGACGCGTTTCCGATGTGTCGATGGCGATCGAAGACGGTGATGGAAATCTGCTCCTAGGGAGCGACTCGAACTACTACCTAGCCAGGCTTAAACTCTGACTCATTCCCACCCTCCTGCCCCCTCTGACCATTCTTGTCTAGCCATTGCATAGATGGCAAATTTTCTCGAGCAATCTGTACAAATTTTCGGTGAAAATGTAGTTCGAGGGGGCCACTCTTGTTTATCCTTAGCACCAGAAGGCATTTCTCCGATTCTCTAACAAAGGATAAGGAATACGTAACGGCTCATTTTGCGGTGTACTTTTGATAAGGATCGGTGGATGTACTATATTCCTACGCGTCCTGCCCACATTCCATCCAATTGTTTGCACCTGGTCACCCACCCTGCAACTATCTCACCCTTAGGCTAGGGAAAATGTCCATTCCCCTGGTCCAGGACCGCTTCTTTGGGCCATGACAGGCGAAGATGTGAAAGCATCCCAGGGTTTTTCCACATTACACCGATACTTATCAGACGCATGTTCAAAATGAGTCGATAACGTATCATGAGCGCTAATATTCTTAGCTTTGATATTGTAGAGTACAATGGAATGGCCCCCTCGAACTACATTTTCACCCAAATTTTCCAGGACCTCAACCATATACGTTTATTTCGTTATTTTACTTTACTTCGACACCTCATCAAAGTTTCGTGATTGTAAATACTGACAAATGAATATTTTCAGTCAAGAAACAGACATATCTTTGGGATCATAAGATGCTGGGTTTATATGGCAAAAACTCCGCTCCCATGGCGAGTAATCGAGGCCAGAAGCCTCTCAGTTTGCGCGAGCGTGCGCCAAACACAAAAAGACACTTTTGCTTGCGAAATGTTGACCAAAATGGTCTTCCACTTAAGGGGGCATCATGATGCTTCTCGTGAACTGTATGAGCATCCGAACATTCCAACTTTTTCAGCCACGTCAAGTGACTGCCCGAGACGTATCAAGATCTCTCCGAACGCAATGAGTACGATAAAGTGAATCTACATCAAGGAGTAGCATGTGTACCAGCTAAGAGATAGCCAAGCGGTAAAAAAAGAGAGAAGTGGCGTTTCCGAAACAGAAGATACGTTAGTCGGAACCCAGGCAAAGCAACAACTCCAGATGAGGTCGTCTGGAACAATCTATTTGAGGTAGATAGAGTTGCCTCGAGTAGTTCAAGGAGTGCGCTGCAAACAGCGCGATAGCCGCTGGGCCTTACGCCCCTCTGCTGACTAATGTAAGCTTGCGGACGAGATACCTTGTGCACACCCCATGACACGCACGTGGATTACAGCGCACCGGTTGATTCATATTCGCGGGTTACTGGAGCCATGGAGTAAGCACGTTCGGAGCTCCTCCAGACACACCACTTCTTGACCTCTTTGGGGAGAGAAAGGGGTACTTGTTCAGGACTCCAAAAAAACTCGTACAAACACATCCATGTGCTAAGTAAGTGGGTTGGGGGGGGACTACGCGGCGGGGCAGCGCTATATTCGTCTGCACCTCCGAGGCTTAGTCCAAGGGACAGGTAGCTATTTCGTGACGCACGTGCAAGCTCGAAATACAGCCAACTGGGAAATAACCTGAGGACAGACGAGCCTAGGCGTCCCCCGGCCCCATCCCACTTAAACCGCCACATCCGCTTCTCTTGTTCCTGGAGGGTAAGGGTAGAGAATTTTAGGCGTCATCAGCGGTTTTCTTTGCTTTTTCCATTTTCAATCAGCACAGCATCCACATTTTCATACTGTTACCCCAGCACTTTGATCCGAGGGTGTTCCTATAGGTTTCAGACCTGGTAATAACACTGCCCCATGTGTGGCTATTGAATTGCGATATATGATTAACGTTCGATTTCTTTTGAAAAAGTAATGTCACCGAAAACGACTGGCTTTAAAATCGTCTCTTATATTCTACCGGGGCACACACATCCGAACGTCCATCACCTGAGCCATAATTAATCAAAAGCTTACGAACAGAATGAGCGTCTCTGAAGCCGTACGCGTCACTCCTCGGCCGGGTAAAGTTCCCTAAACCTCTGCGTCTCTTTAACGCATCCCCACTTTCCTGACCGTGGGAATGCCATCAACCAGAGTAAACGTACAAAGTTCAAAGAACCCATCCTCGACCAAGTACTGCTAATGGTCAGTTCAGTTGAGCTTTTAATGGTTTCTTCAGAGTTCTTTCACTGCCACCATTTGGCACGTCTGCTTTCATATTGGATGACGTACCAGTTATCGTAATCGCTCCCTCCTAAAGAGGGAGGTCGGCACAAGGAACGACTTATGGCCATGCTCGGCTGAGATCACGTGGAACCCACAGGCCATCATGCTTTTTGCCGATGGTCTGAACCATCGGCAAAAAGTATGATGTCCTTGGCTCACCCTTTCGTCGATACTGAAGAAATTGGTAATACCTCCGCTTTTGTGTCGTTGACAGGGGGGTTCCGGACTCCGATTCCTTTCTGCACTCGCGTAGATCGAAACCCCTTCTAAAGCATCATGCCTTTCCACGCGCGTTGGATAACGTCTCACAGAGATGCTTATCCTTAATCCTGCGTCAAGTGCAGTTATTCAGTGTACGTCCGGGCAGGAAGATTAGGCAAGAGGATGGGTAGCTGGCGTTCTTCATTTGTATCGCTGATTCTCGATGTTTTCGAAGGGCGCTCCCGTTCCTGCTGCCCAGTCTTGAAACTGACAGGGTCAGATTTTCAATATTTTTATCGTCCCTGCGGTTAAGCGAATTTGCAAAATAAATAGAACGACGAAGTTATACGAATCAGCAGTGGACCTGAGGTTCCCGCAGCGTTGGAAAGGCCGGCCCGTGGAAAAAAAGTCAAAACGGGCGCGATAATTGTCGACGTATTAAAAACTCTGGAAAAAATAACACAGAATGAAGATGGTTGCAGTTTGCAACTTCAAAAGGACTCGTTCAGCCAGTGGCATCAGAGCAGACTGTGCACCGCAATGTCCCCTTACTGGTTTACGGACTACATGAAGTTTCTTCTATGGTCCTACGAATGGCCACAGAACAGACGGTTAAATAACGGCGTGGCGCGGCTCCAAATCCCGATGGGGAGGGTGAGAGCTTTCTGACTGAAACGCTTGGAGGGGGAGGAACTAAGGGGTGGTGAGTCAATTACAGTGTGGCACAAGTTTAAAATATAAAATCACAGTAGTCATGAGCCGCTATTTAGACGAGGGAGCTTAGGTGGGAGCACCAAATGAGGCGATTCAGAGGCCCTGATTTCAAATAGCCGTGGTCGCAACCAGGGTCAAGCGAGGCGTTGAGGAAAATTTGGAAATACGACCCCCCCCCCCCACCACCCTCCGCCGGAGGCCGAAGTCCATGAAACAACCCTCTTCAAAAGCCGAACTATGAAAAGGTTGAAAAGCTTGTTTAATTCTCCCCAAAACTGCTCATAAAAAAGCCCTGCTACCCCACCGCCCACAAAAAAATTCGTTTAAGAAGTACAAAAGTGAAAAAGTCAAAGAATAATCATTATTGATGAGTCCTACCAAACGAGCAAACGAGAAACAGACCAGAAAACGACAAACTAGCCACTAAAAATGGCATACCCAACATCTGTTCTTCATTTATTTCCTCCACAAGACTTACCAAATTCTAGTACTACACAGATTGTGGTTCTCAATTTGCACGTAGCCCTTCAGTTGAAAGAAGCTTTTTAACCGCCTTCGCCAGCTGTGTGTTGACTGGACTTTGGCGTTGACCGTGGAGCAGCTTATTTACTATTGAAATTTGAACAAATATTCAAATGATTATAACTTTCTTCAAATATGACGAATTTTCAATCTGAAAGCAGATTTGGAGTTTTGTGAAGAGCTTTTTCTAATCAGTACTGAAATTACAAAAAGTTATAAGAAATAACAAATTTAGATCAAATTAACGAGGAAAATTCGAGATGAGCACGAGTTTTTACACTTTCCGAAGCAACAACTTGCTTCATTTTCGTCAAATTCGAAAAGTTAATATGGCAGACAAAACTAGAAGATTTTCTCTACCAAACCGTTGCTAAAGCAGCTCTATACGTCCAGTATTCAAAAAATGGCCACGTTGAGGATTTTCGCAAAATTAACGAGGAAAATTTGTGATGAGTGCGAGTTTTTTTACTTCCTAAAGCCATAACTCCGTTCAAACTCATCCAATCCGAAAAGTAAATACGCCATCATAAACTAGAAGATTTGCTCTATCAAATGCTTACTAGAACTGCTCCAAACGTCCAGTATTAAAAAAACGGCTACGTTGAGGATTTTCGCACGAGTACCGCCGAAAGGTACTTTTTCGCTACATTGGCACTATTTCAACGGCTGTATATCCTTTTAAGGGCGATTATGTACTAAAGTAAGAGCAGATTTGGAATCACTGCTTTTCTCTTTCTAAGAAAAGTGATTGATCAGCGTTTCTCAACTTTAAAGGTTACATGTTTATAAATTTAACCCTGAAGAGTCCGTTAACGCAATGTTGAATGGTGTACACCTCCCTGTAAATGCGCACGGACACTTTCAGAATTCTCTCGATTGTTCCTGAATTGAGGTTGTTTGTCCAAGGAGCCGTAGTTGAAGCGCGCGCAACAACTAGACCCTTTCTCGGATGCGCCGTGTACCTCACATCCCTTCAGATTCGGGGTCTTACTTGAAAGATGAAATATCTCTTGGAAAGCGTGCGAAATTCAGATTCTTTAACTTGTGTGGTGATAAAACACTGAAGTAACTAAGAATTACCGGACGCCTCAGAATCACGAAAATTTTGTGTGGGTGAAATATCATTTTCATTGGAAATCCTCTGGCCTGGCATCGACTCATCCTTGATATTTGTCTTCCGACGGTGATGATCCCACTGCATCAAAATGGCTCGATCTCTTCCACCCAGCGGGCCAATACGACCCCCCCCCTGCGACGTGTCGAGGATTCCTCAACGCACGCTTGACCCTGGTCCACGAATAAAAAATTCTGCAATTTTCTACAACAAATTTAGATAGCCCGCACTGAGTTGCCAATAAATCTACGAAACGTTTCGAATCAAAAAAGTCAACTTCGATCAACTTAATTTTTACTTTCTATTTATGACCGTTTCAAATTACGGTGCATAAAAGAAAAAAAAAGAGGATTAAAATCAAACAAGAGTGACCGTAACCACAAAGTTCGAAATAAAAGGAGGCTGTAACATATCAAATATTAACCTCATAGACATTAGGGAGCATCTACGAAGTTCTCATTCTGAAAAAGGAAAACATACAACAGTTAAAATTCGCATCGCAATAATTGGGCAAATAATTTACGAGTGACGGGATGATTGCGAGAGCTGGGACCGAGGTGAGGAGGAGTGTGGAGTCGAGACGAGAAACCCTCATTTCCCATGACAAATGCAAGTGAGAACGGAACACCCAGGTTACACTGGACGTTAGAGAGTGCCGATACCGTAGGGCGCAAGTGCAAAAACACACAAAAAGAGGCGAAGTACAAAGATAGAGGTGCTGCGGTGTTACCCATAACCGCCACTGACAAGTACAAGTTGAAGACATATCGCAAATAATTAAAACGAGCGTGGTAATGTACAACGTACGAAGAAAGCAAACGCGACGCATGCACGATGCAGCCTGTACAGCACTTGGACTGAGATCCGGCCTAGGTCAATGCTGCATCAATCGACGCATGATCACAGGAGGAATTAAGCTAAAACTGACAGAGATTCTCAGCACGACGGCGACGATGACCGCGAAGGCAGCGACGACGATCATACTACCAAGACAAAAACACACACTGACACACAAACAGAGCAGAAATTATGATGAATGAATAAATATGATGCAAACACAATACATATACATTCAGCCTTGCGAAACTAGATGATAACCACTTTGAAAGAGGCAATAATGAATCAAATTTACAAACTTCTAGCTACTCATCTACATGCACATAAAGGTGATTGGAACGCGTGAACAAAATTACTAGTAACGCACCACCAACAATCAACTAGCATACTACCAACACCCGGCTGAAAAATGATATCCGGCGAGTCCATCACGAACACGTCATGCTCATAACCCTATCGAGTGAAGTTGTTCAAAGGGTGAGGAGGCGGAGGTGCACGTTGATGACTCGTTGGTATCACTGCGTACTGCGCCATGATCGGTATGTGATCTGACGGCACGTGAGGATGCGGAAATCCTGAAATGCGCTCACTTAAGGATCAACAACAAAAGTATCGCCTTGATGCATACCAATGATCTTGTTTTGTGCCACCCAATTCGAATCGAAAGCGCCAAGGAAACCAAGCCGTGCCAAAGATTGAGGCGTCGAAAATATATAGTCAATCATTCCCTTGAAGTCTAGTCTGAAAAATTGAAGCCATATTGGATAAGAAAGCAAGCAAAAACGAAATTCCGTGTTTTCCAATTATACGCACGTGTAATTCGTGAATGGTATATTGCTCAGTTCGACAGCGGAAGTCGAGCCGGAGTGAATGGGTGAAACAGTTCGGATCGCGAACGCCAGAAGAAAACATTTCCAAGCAACTATCGTCTCGAAATCCTTTCAGCTCCGAATGAGTCCGCGACAATTGTCCTCGAGAGAGGAATTCAAAGACTCCTAAAAACACTCTTATAGACAAGAAATTCGTGGCATATCCCTCAGGAAATGATGGGGATTTTGAAAGCATCCGCTTTATTGACTCATTAGATCCAAGACCAAGGTGGCTACATAATTACTAGGCAACCTAGGCTGTGGTTGCGCAGCATAAATTCGAAGAATCATTGGTAACCCCTCAATCTTGTCAAATGCGCCTGTTTCCATATAACTGTGGGAGGTGCTGTCGTTCGAAACTAAAAACCATGTCGAAAAGGAAATAAACAGGAAACAATAGACGACCATTCGCAATAAATTTTTTCTAGAGTAAGTTTCATCTTTCTTCCGATAAAAAAGAGCCGTGAACATGGTTTTACTCCTTCACTAATGAAAACATTCCGAGCAAAAGGTGGAGAAGGATTGACACAACTTTTTGCCCAAAGTCAAACAAAGGATGCGTTTGCGGAAGAACTCGTCCATATTTCAGTTTACCAGTCCTAATGTCCAATCGCAGAGGAATACCCCACGAACAGCGTTAGAAGTCTTTCAGATCCATAAGAGGCGGTTTTCTTAGTCAACCATTGAAAGTCTCTCTAAATTGGACTACTGCATAAGGCCGAAGTTTCGTGCTGGCATTACTGTTCCCTAAATACAAGGATTGGTAAAAAAAAGAAATAAAGCAGACTGGAAACCTGTATGTATGAATGTAAAGGGTATAAATCAAACACATTGTACCTGAATCGGGAAGCGAATTCAAATCACCGCATATAAGCACAGGCGTTTGCTGGGGTGTTATTCGAAATTGCTCAGCGACCTGAAATATGTACAATGAAATAATACCATTACTAATTCAACGAAACCACACTCACTGATCAACGCCTAGAAGATACTAGGAGACATGAAGCGCAAAATTTGAAGCGTCTGGCATTTTGAGAGACCTGCAGATCATATGAGCCGCAGTCTACCGACCGCGTAGGACCTCGCACCCGCAATTCGACTGCAGACTTTCCCGTCTCTTTAGATTCCTTTCTAATGATGTATTAGACTTCTCAGTTACACGAAAATTTTTTTTTTTTTTTACTCGACAGCGAGGAAGTTTCTTGTTTACCTCGTTGAATAAGCTTCTTAACGTGTTTTTTTTTGCGGGGAAGGAAGATCGCAGAACGGAAGACCTGGGCAGGGTGGATGTCTTAACCTTTTCCACAACGGAAGGCTTTCCCCCGCCCCCCCCCCCCGAAAAACCAAGCAATTTGTATCATTTCAATGGATTTTGTAGATATATAACCCCCCAAAAAAAGAAAAACCGGGGAAAACGGATAAATGCAAAATATACACACAACACCACTGTTAAACGTACCTCCTCAAGAAGTTTATACAGCTCGTGCGCCAGCATCATAGTCTGAACCAGCTTGACGTCGCAAAGTTCAGGATCCCAATGGATATGAGCAGTGCAAACAACAAGCGGTGAACCAACGACATTGTCTGCTGCAGCCATCGTCATGCGTCCTTAAAACATTGGTAAGGTACGCCTTTTTTGATAGAAGCAATTCAAATAAAGAAAAGTTGGATTAGAAATTACGCGATCTCGGATATGTGTAGTGGATGCCAAATATACTCACTGTTATTGTAGACGTTCTCCTTGATCCGGAGAACAGCACACAGCGCGATGTTATCTCGAGGCATAACCCGGTTGAGCATATGCTCCGATGAGGCGGCTTTCTTCACAACAATTTGCGTAAACTCTATGAGGTGCTCTCGCTCAATCTCAAACCTGACAAAGTTATTGTTATCAAACCTTAGCCTTATTATTATTATGTATATATTACTGATTATGGCTAAGCAATTGTTCGGATTGCTTGACATATAGGGCTGTTTGACCCTTACGAGTGAAAAGCAGTTCCGAGTTTCACGCTGCAAAAATAAAATCAACTTACTTTTCCGATTTCCAGAAGATTGCACAGCCATCCACGTACTTTCGATCTTCTTCATTCATGGTCTTTGCGCGAGATTTTGGAGAAAAAATCCCTGTGTACCCTAACACTTTCAATTCCGGTTGAAACAATAGACGAAATTGTTCCGTTTCGACTTCCTGAAAGGAATGCAATCAATCCAGTGATCAAACTGCAGTAGGTAAAGCAGGCCAAGTCATTTTCTCGGTAGGAGTCACGACAAAGTAATCACGTTTTTCAATGTCGAAGAATTAATATTTGCTTATTTGAAGAAAATTAATCAGAAATCAATTGAAGGGGAAGGATTTGGCGGAACTTCTTAGAAAACGCTTCGTGGTAGGGTCTTGGCATGGCTTTGGCCTTCCTTGCGCATTTTACTCCACCTCCACCCATCCCCCCTCACAACCATTGGTCCTTTAGGGTGAGACACTAGGGCCGCACGTCACCCCATCACGCTGGCGTTAAACGCTCGGACAACGAGAGATGGTTTTCTTGAACCAAAAGCGTAGTTAAGTTTGACCCTCCTCTTTCGAAAAATATCCTCACGGAGCGAACAAGAATTTTAAAAGCAAAATTGGAATTGAAAACATATTCCGTTCAGATTTCGCAAGTGAAAGCATTGAAAGAGCTCTTCCGTTTGTTTTGAGGAACATGAATATTTCTTTCTATTATTAAGTGTTAAGAGTAAAACCCCCAATACACCTTAACAAGCTGAAGCAAGAATGCTCAAAACCGGAATAATGTGATAAAGATCTCAGGAAGCTATATAGCTGCCACTCAGGATCGGCTCTCTCGCGAAATTGCAACCCTTGTTTTCGCAGAAACTCTTCCATTCTTGGATACTAGCGCGACACGCTTCGTCGCAGTTGCAATGAAGGACAACGTTACTTGTGATGAAAGTACAAAGAGCCATCCGTGTCGAACAAAATTACGCCATGCATGCATTGTAAAAAAATACCTGTATGCTATACGAAGTTATCCTCGTAATTTCGAATTTCTTTCATAATAGACATCTTTCGGTACTCCCAATTGAGAGCCCATGATGGGCAGTAGGAATATTGGTTGACAGTGGCATATTTATCACATAGCACGTTGTAGCACAGCACAGTAAAAGTAGCTGAAAATATTATTCTAAGATTAGACCGTCGAACAACAAAGAGACAAAAGTCCAAACTTCGTATAGCATACATTATACACCACCAGCATAACCGGTGACTCTACAACGACGAAAAATTTGTAAGAAATTAGCTGGCAAAAAAACTTGGTGTGAAACAAGCTACATTGCCGGCACACAGGATCGACTTTTTCGAAAAATTGATTCCTATTATCATTTCTTCTACCCACCGCTTCAACGTAATACACCACTTCTGGAAGGACATAAGTGGCGAGAGACAACTGAATTCGCGTTGCTTCCCCACCCCCTTACATTTCCTTCTTACTCAGATGAGAGCGCAAATAATCATAAATACGTTAACAGTTCATGCAGAACTGCTAATTAAACACGACAATTAATTTTCTTATTAGCGAACCTTTTTGTCCAAAATTGTCTAATCAAATGATTAGGGTTGGTATTCATTCAGTTTCCGCACAACAAAATCGCCCTTTTCCTAGTAAACTTCAAAATCACCACACGTGGAATACCTCAAAACCTCTTTGTTAGACTTCCTCTTTGTGAAATTCCATCCATTTCGAGTTGTCGTTAACATCATGCTCCCTACTAGATTAATTAGTAGGAGTGCACTGGCCCTCTAAGCCCGCTGAATGTTTCTTGTTTCACACCTTAAGAGCGGACCTGTAAAGATTGAACGCATTTTACGTTGAAATATAAGAACCATAGACCGTGAGCAAGATCATGATTTTGAATGCTCCCGAACGGATGATTTTCAATTTTTTGACGATGTACTATTGCATATGCCATCTGCTTACGTTGCTGATTACGAGTAGTCTGATAAAAACGCGGCTAGCAATAAAGCCGGTTTTGTCATGTTGCTCGCGATTGTGGACCCCGCTCTTACAGTGTTTAGCCATTAGCTGTCCGCGAAAACCGGCCCCGATAGAACGCGCAACTTACAATCGTGTCGCTTCCCACCAGGCATGATCTATTGCGAAAAATGAATGAGACTGATATAATGTGTCATTCGTTAGATGAAGCAATGAAGACACTGCGAAAATCGTAAATCCCTACGACAACTCGACATTCCACACAACTGGCAGATGCCGGATTCAAGACCCGTTGGAAATGCAAAATGAAAACCAGCCTCGTAAATGTAACAGCAAACGAAGAAATCCAAGAATCTAATAGAATAACAGGAAAATGTGAACGACAAAAACGAAGTCGTTACCTATAGGTCGGTCGGGATCTGCGTGTCGGATCATCACCCATTCCCGCTCAGGCGGCGGTGCGGTGTTAACTTAACAAAAGTTGTTACTGTACCATTCCATTGACATTCTCAATACATAATACGAAATCTATGTTTAAAAAAATATTTCATCCTTAACACCACACTGGTATACAGCGACATGGCCTTAGATTGATCCTGAAGCGTCGACTACCTTAATGATGACTAGAAACACTACGTATAATTCTTCATAATGATTCGATCAGTGAGCGCACTTTCTGAAAAGAAAAACAGACGCACGCGTCGAGGGATGATGGGTAATGGGTGCGCGAACACTAAATTTATTTTTTAAGAGAGAAAGTTTCTTGCAAATCTAAGGCATATTGCACACACTCGAGAAACCGAAATAATCGAAAAAAAAAAAAACTTCGGGTGCTCAGGATGTTGAAGGGAGCACCAGGCGCGCACCGCTCGCTGCTTCCCCAGTGCTCTCTTCGAGTGTGATGGCATTCAGCCTTAGCCTGAGCAGGGGTGCGAGTGGTTTTTAAACAGTATGATTTGTGATTTTTCAAGGCCAATGCGCTAGAGGAGCACCAGGAAGACCACTGCGAGGTCGCGTAGCCTTCCCAACCCATTAGCACCAGTCTTCTCTCTCTCAATGAACCATATCAACTGAGAGCGTGTTTGTTGCAAATTTAAAACAATACGAAACGAAATTCCAATCAAATTCGAGCCAGCAGACTGTTGACAAGACAAGATCAGAGCTGCGTAAACTTTGAAAATCATCTTCCGAAGCAGATTTTTCATGGGCAATTCGCGCATGAATTTAGGGAATGCTGCTCAGAAAAATTGATGAACATGAGAATCTACTAAAACAAGCGAACAAAACAAAGAAAGGAACCATAGATAAATGTAAGCAAGATGCTCACCACAACAAAGGCCGCGTCAACGAAAAATTATTCAAAAACGCAAGTGACTGATTCATCATTACACATCACAACAGACATTATATTATTTCCGAAAAGATCACTCTTCACGTGTTTTCTCTTCATATGTTTTCCCACAAAAATTAGGGAAAAAGCGATTGGCTTCAGTCCACAAACATTCTGATTTGTGAACGAAAGTAGATATTCTTCGCGTCTTTGTAGATTGATTCTCACTTCACCCGTTTAAAACAACATGATGCCGCCTTAAGTGTAAAAAAACCATACTCGTCGCACGATGGAGAACTTACCAAAAAATCACTTCGCCTTGCCTATTCACGGCTGCACACCAGCATCGAGGACTCGTGTAGTGCCGCAGATGACTTCAAGAACCTTCTGTAGCCAACAACTGCTTTGATGTCCATCTTGGAATGTGAAAACAAGTTCCGTTTCCAACCAATGAAAGAAGTCGCCTAGACTCTGAGCGACGCGCGGCTGACGTTTCGAAGTCTTTCTGTCTCTTGAATGCGATGATCGGCCAATTGATGTTTGACTGTGGGGCGATTCTGAAGCAACTCGACATACCGAGAAACTTGCACGAGTTGCGTACTCGATAGAAGCAGCACTCATAAAAAAAGAAGCCTCGAACGACGTTACAGAGCAATGCTCGACTCCATCCCTCCAGTAAGGCTGTGGTATCCAATGTGATATGGAATTGCAGAGATGCTCAGCGTGAGGCGTTTCCCGATGCTTGCAGTTAGTTCAACTGCGCTACTGGATAGGTCGAGATCGTCAAACATGCAAGATTCTTCAGGAGAGTCAAGAAATCCCGAGCGTGCTGCAAAAAGTCGTTGATTATATCTTCGTTGCTGCAGTTCCGCCCACCTTTTGGCCCGTCGAGCGAAGCGCTTTCCCGTTCCTCTTCCTGAGCAAGCGTTTCTGCTCGCTCCGTTCACATTTTGTTCCAAAAACGGATCTCCTCTTTCCGAACATTGATTAGAGACTCCATCGGACATAATATGTATGACGGACGATTTTAGCACATTACTGACGAGTTGATGCAGAAATATACCAATTCAGATGGGAAGGATTATCAGACGAAGGCTCGTAAGAAGCTAAGGCTACGACTGAACTGCGTAGGTTATCGCACCCCCATAGGCGGAACAGGGCGTGCATGTGAGTGCGTTCGCGATGGATGATCCAACGTGCGAGACGGACGAGCAAGCGAAAGTTTGAGGACACCCAAGAAACGATGCGATTCCATTAAAAAATTTTCCAAAAAATAACAGAATTCAAGCAAATGCGAGGCTATATGAGACCTCAGAATATTCACAAGCAGCGAGTTGAAACGGAAACACACGCGGAATGGAACAATGTAAGATTTCGGAGTTAAGAAGCAAAGCAAGTCTGAACATGGACAGTACTTACTGAAGAACGGGAACCGGAGACCAAGATATAGTCAGGGACAAGACAAGAACTGGTATACTTGAGCCCTCATCTTCTACGACTATGTAAGCGAAGTTCTTGCCGTTTTCCATACTTCAGATTTCAAGACATAAATTGGAACAAATGCATACATTATACGCATATTATTACGAGTTATTCGGGTTCTGGGCCGTTTCTCATGGTTCTTCCTTCTTTCGTGTACCACTCACCATCCCTAGGTTAATTTGAAATGGGTTGCTTTTTCATCGTGAATTCGTCCTTTAAGTGGTTCCAAAATTAATTTGGACGTGGTTGTTTCAGTAAAAACACATATCTTCCCATACGAATAGGTTTGTATTCACTTCTGTTATTCCTTTTTATCAACATGTCTACGTTATTGAAAAGAAAACGAGGAATGAACTGAACAGACATATCCGTAAGGTCTGGAAAACCTCTGCCAAACTAAAGAATATTTGGCCTTTCTGTGAGCCATGTGGTTTTTAAGTATGCTAATGTATGACCTATAGAATGAGTACAAAGACCTTAGGAATAAGTCGCACAAGCGCAAGAAAAAGGGATGACTTGGGTGGGACGCGTTACCGCGTCACAATGTCCCACGAGGTGCGCAAAGTGGGACGCGTTACCGCGTCACGCTGTCGTCAACGTGTTAAAACGAACGCAAACGTTGCGTTAGAGTCGAGATAAACATATTTAAACTTCAAGGTCCGGTAAGAACTTTACTTAAAACCTAATTCTTCACTATCATCTACCACGCCTTTCACTCCAGAGCCGCATCTAATGGTAAGAAAGGTTGGCATTTTGGAGCTCTCCTAAGGTCACTGGAATTCAGCGATCTCCTTTAGATACTTGTAGAGGGCAACTACCTCATAGACACTTTCCCCATGCACATCACCCTGAATAGGAGACATCATCATGGAGATAGTAATAAGTCGTGGCAGAGCAAATCAAATTTGGGAAAATTGTTGAGACGAGGCGACACTTCAACAAAAAACTTTGAAAACCTTGAAACAGGGAGCGAACAACGAGCCGTAGCTCTGGTCAGGTAGAACTCGTGCTCTTTGAATAAAAAGTTAATGAAGCTGCGCCGAGTTCAACATCGTGACAGGAAACACAACTCACTTGCTAAATGATCGTGAAGGAAATGCAGTAATTTGTGTGATCCATTGCTTTCGTGATAAATTTTATTAATTTCAGGAGACAAAGGGTTTCCTTGTAATCCTGAAGTGACTGAAGTATAATATAGGAAATCACAACTTGAAGGAAAGACAACTGAATTACACATCAAAACATCCAATCGGTTTTTGTCAGTAAGGTCAACATGAACACTGTCAAGGGAAAGGTTGTGGATTACAGTGTTGTTTTATGAAAGAAAAAAAAAGCGAAAGAAGGGTGGAAGAAATACTTCGTGTCGTGAGTTAAACCAGTGCGTGATAGGGAGAATAGTAGAGATTAGGGTTGTACTTCAAAGAAATAGAAACCACGAGAAACTTTGATCCACAATAAAAAAAACACCTACCCAATGTTTGTATTCTGAAAAGCTTTCCAAGTTCGTATGGCAGAACTCGGAGCTGGTTATGGTTAAGATAGAGGTGACACAAAGATATCATATCTCCAAGCTCTGCAGGAAGGCTCCTTAGCTTGTTGTGAGATAGATCCAACATTGTCAAATTCGTTAACTAAACAGAAATATCATAAATATAATATAAAAAAATACAATCACCATATCAAGCTGGCACAATGCACATATCAATAGAAAGAGGCTAGTAAAAGAATAGCGACCTACCTGTGATATTTCAGGTGGAACACGCGTCAACTGATTGCCATTGAGAAATAGTGCGGATAAGTGACTCACTTGCCATAATGCATTTGATAGGTTACGAACTCTACCTGAACAAAAATGTTGAGCAACTGAACCGTAGCTTGATTATCTGCCCCCTAAACTATTGTTATCTGCCCCCTCAACTATTGAAAACAGTCAT